ACCATTCATCTGTTTATGGACACTTAGGTTGCTTCCATACCTTGGCAATTGTAAATAACGCTGCTATGAACTTTGAGGTGCATGTATCTTTCCGAATTAGTGTTTTTGTTGTTTTTTGTTTTGGATATATACCCAGGAATGAAATTGCTGGGTCATATGGTAGTCCTAATTTTAGTTTTTTGAGAAATTTCTATACTGTTTTCCACAGTGGCTGCACCAATTTATATTTCCACCAACAGTGTATGAGGGTTCCCTTTTCTCCACATCCTCACCATCATGTGGTTTTTTTTGATGATAGCCATTCTGACCAGTGTGAGGTAATATATCATTGTGGTTTTCATTTTCATTTTCCTAATGATTAGTGATGATGAGCATCTTCTCATGTGCCAGCTTGCCATCTATATTTTCTGTTTGGAAAAATGTCTATTCAGTTCTCCTGCCTATTTTTTACTCATTTTTTTAAAATGATGAGTTATATGAGCTGTTACATATATGTTACATATTAACCCTTTATTGGTCATATCATTTGCAAATATGACCCATTCAGTAGGTTGTCTTTTCGTTTTATCAATGGTTTCCTTTGCTGTGCAAAAGCTTTTAAGTTTAATTAGGTCCTATTTGTTTATTTTTGCTTCCATTTCCTTTGCTTTAGGAGACGGATCCAAAAAAAGATTATGCAGCAATTTATGTCAAAGAGTGTTCTGCCTCTGTTTTCCTCTAGGAGTTTTATAGTATCCAGTCTTGCATTTCGGTCTTTAATCCATTTTGAGTTAGTTTTTGTAGCTGGTGTTAGATAATGTTCTGTTTTCATTCTTTTACATGTAGCTGTCCAATTTTCCCAGCACCAATATTGAAGAGACTGTCTTTTCTCCTGATATTCATAAGATTTTGAGAAAATAAACAGATTACATACAAAAATGCAATGTCTCTGCAATTTTGTAAAAATTATAGATATGCCCTAAAATACCAATGTCTAATATAAACACAGTATTTGTAAAGGTACATTTGATATTAGACACTAATTCTGACTGGTTTATAAAACTTTTGAAATTCAGGCATCTTTGCTCTTAAGTAGATAATAATTTCTTCTTCAATATTTATATAATACAGAGTAATTAAGCCCTGAAGGCACTGAAACATAACCTTCTCAGATCAAATCCATGTCATCCCACTTAGAAGGTGGGGAATCTTGGACAAGTTGTTTAACTTGCATAAGCTTTAGTTTTCTTTATTGGTATAATGGCAATATTACTTACCACACACATAGGGTTTTGTTTCTAGATTTAAATGAGATAATTATATGAATCTTTTAGTTCTGTGCCTCACACATGAAAAGCATAAACATAATTTTTTCAGTCGCCCTCCTTGGCATGTTTTCGCTGGAGTAAAACAGGCAGGGATTGTTGGGTGGGACACCAACAGAATGTTCTGCTCTAGCTCCTATTATATGAAAGCTGTGATGGGTAATTTTATGGGTCAACTTGACTGGGCCATGGGTGCCCAGATATTTGGTTAAACTCTATCTCGTATGTCTCTGAGGGTGTTTTGGATGAGATTAACATTTGAAATCAGTGGACTGAGTAAAGCCGATTGTCCTCCCTGATGTGGGTTTCACCCAGTCCGTTGAAGGCCTGAATAGAATAAAAAGACTGAGCGAAGAGAATTCTTCCTCTCTGTCTTTGAGCTGCAACATCAGTCTTCTGCTGCTTTCACACTCACACTCCAACTGGAACATACACCATCGGCTCTCCTTGTCTTCAGGCCTTCAAACTTAGACTGGGACTATGCTATCCTGGGTCTCCAGTTTGTCAGCTGCAGAACTTGGGACTTTTCGGCCTCCATAACTTATAACATTGAGTTGGCCAAAATGTTCATTCAGGTGTAAGGAAAAAGTGAACAAACTTTTTGGACAACCCAATAACTATTTATATATCTATATGGTTATATATGGTCTATATATAGGTAGATACATATATGTATGTATATATTATCTATATCACCTATTGGTTCTGTTTCTCTGCAGAACTCAGACTAATAGAAGAGCAAAAGAAAGAAATCTCAGCTATGCTGGGGCTCAGACATCCACTGTATGTGACCTACAGAAGTTGTCTGAGGGAACTCTTAAGGGAGGGGACCCAGGCAAATGACATTTAAATCAGAACTAAGCTTTAAGGGAAGGGGAGATGAAGTGCACACCCAGGAATGATGCTTCTGCACCTCTGACCCTCTTCCAGTTCCTCTCAAAGTCTCCAAGCACTTTCCCTTCTTGGTGTTGGTTTGAAAACTCAGAGAAGTCCCCAGGTTAAATTCAAAACTGGCCCCCGTACATGGAGGGCAAGAAGAGACCAACAGAAGAAGCAGACCACTCCGGATTGGTAGGTTGCAGTGTTAATAAGCAAGGGAACTTACATAGGAGGCTTGTCTTGAGCAGGCTGCAAGTGAGTAAATCTCTACACCCACCTGCCAGAATCTTAAAAGTTTATATAGAGGCTGTATCTGGGTTCAGTCACATATACTGTCCAGATGGTCTCAACAACACATTAGCACCTCAAGGATGCATGCTTGGAATGACTCCTCGTGTAAGAACATTGGGCAGAATGTACATTCCAAGGAAGGGAGTAGGGAGGAGTCTCCAATTGCCAGGATCCAGTTTGCAGGTCAACCAGCAGTCACTTCCTCCTGATGACCTCTTCCAACAGCCTCCATCTTTTAAAAAGCTGTTGGTGGGGGGCTTCCCTGGTGGCGCAGTGGTTGAGAGTCCACCTGCCGATGCAGGGGACGCGGGTTCGTGACCCGGTCCGGGAAGATCCCACGTGCCACAGAGCGGTTGGGCCCGTGAGCCATGGCCGCTGAGCCTGCGTGTCCGGAGCCTGTGCTCCGCAACGGGAGAGGCCACAACAGTGAGAGGCCCGCGTACCACAAAAAAAAAAAAAAAAAAAAAAAAAAAAAAAAAAAGGCTGTTGGTGGGATTCTGTACAGCCTTTTGTTAGAGCACCTCCCAGTCCAGCATTGTGTTCCAGATAATAGTCATTCAAAGGTGTTCCCTGTTTCGAGACAACCCCACAAAGTAAGAATACCCATTTGCCTGCCCATACCTTTTATTTCTTTGTCAAATCGTGCTCACATGGTGGGGGTCACATCTTCAGGAAGTCTATATGAAGAAGAAATCTCCTTAACTTGGGATATTAAAAAGCATCTTAATGTAGAGTTCTGTCACATTTTCTCCTTTTTCTCCTGTAATTTTCTCCACAATTATTCATAAACTGACATACTGTTGACTTTAATCATTCTGCCACGTCATCATAAGACTCACTTTAAACCATATTAATATAGAATAATTTTCTGAATTTTCCACTATTTTAAAAAGAAATAAATATAAATTTATAAATTCGTATAGCAACTATATAAGCATGGTTATAGGAAAGGTTTATATTTTTCTATTGACTGATGTCATGGAGGTAAATTATCACCTTTGAAATTATTAACTACTGCTCAGTTACCCTGTAATGGGTTGTGCTGATGCACAGGGATGCCAGCTATGTTGTTAAGAGTCTGGTAGCTTATAGCGGTTTTCCACAATTCTTCGTTTACTAGGGTGTCCTTGTCATGGCTCACCCCTGCTGTTAATATTGGACTCGTCCATTTGACTTGTCTAATCAACAGAATGTGGGCTGATCAGGATGGGTGTATAGACTTTAAAGATGCTTTGGCTCAGCCTTTTGTGCTTCTGCCGTGCACCATGAAAAGAACATGCCTAAGAACCTGCTGGCCAAAATGAGACATCAGAAACAGAAGGGGAGAATAACCTTTTTAACCGCATGAGTTATTTCAAAAATGGCCCCTTCTAAGAAAGCAACTGGAAGTTTTCCACCAGGTGAAAGAGTAGAAAACTAGAAATTCAATATAGGAGAGAAGTGAAAAGAATCTCTATAGTGATGGTGGTGGAGGAGACTACAGTATTTCTTGTGCACCAGGCACAGAGGGCAACCAGCCCAGAGTGGATCATATTTTAAAATTGTGGCCAAAGATGATGCAGACATTTTCCTCCACAGGAAACACTCAGGTATACCGAAAGTAAATTGAATTAAAAATCTGACTGGTGAAATCCGTAATAATGGTATATGACTGACACTGAATTATGAGGTATTAAAGAAATATTTTCAAATCTTGAATGTCTACTCTGAGGCAATATAGTCTGCTATTTATATAGAATATCTCCCCAAGAATACAGAAGCTGAAAAATGAGGTTGTCTCTAAAGAGCATCATTGTGTAGCTTGGGGAAAGGGGAAAGAATAAGACTTTTGTTTCTTTTGAATTTAGCAGTGTGTGTGTTATAAAAATGAACTGGGTAAATATATCCCCCAAATTCCAGTTACACCTTTGTTTTATTTCTACATTATAAAATTTGGCCTTCTTTAGTCTTGAAGCGAACAGAATTCCAGGAGTTAAATTTAAAAGAGTAGCCTCCTCTGACTCTGGGAGAAAAAGTACCTTACAAAGATGGACCAATAATATTTCCCCTGTCCCCAACAGCTACAAAAAATCAGATAATAAAAAGCTCCTAGTAAATGTTCTCACTAATAAAATAGACTTTAATACTTCAGATTTTTTGCTGGCTTTTTGAAGTAAACATTAACCTCTCAAGAGTCTGTAATTATGTTTGGTGGTCTTAATCATACATACATTTAATTTAAATTGTCATGTTCTATGAAATGTACACATATATGTAAAATTTTTGTTAAAAGAAAGGATCTGGTTTATTCTGGTTTTTCTTTCATTATATATATGCATGAAAAGTTAATGAAATGCATGGGTCTGCTAGATTTCTTATTTAAGTAAAACATTCAAGAGTCTGTGACCAATTTAAAGTAACATTAGTGATTATGTCAGAAACTACCCATGACCCATTTTAGCAATTAAGAGCAGATGTACACTGTTGGCTAATGGGAAATGTTTCCTTGCTCCTAAGAGAGAGAACAGAAAATGATCTCTCCTATTTTTACCTCTGGTTGTTGTCATGGCTGTGTAGAATGTCCAAAAACCTGTCAGCCATCATGGTAGCAGCCAACACTGGGGAATACAGAGTGGAAAACGAAAGAGAATCTGAGTCTCTGAATATTTCATTTTGCTAATGAACCAAAAATCTCTGGAGATGGTTCTCCCTTTTAAAGTCTGTTATATGACTCAACATACTTCCTCATTGCTTCAGCCAGGTTGGTATTTTAATTTCTGATGAGTATATCCTAACTATAACAAACAACTAAAGGACATGATTCATACTGGGAGCTGGAGATGCAGAGACAAAGCTGATTCCATCACAGCCATCAACCAGCTCACTGTCTTGTGGGGGATGAACACACACACAGAATGGCCTAGGTGTTAAATGCTGTCCTACAAATTGTACAGATACTTTGTGAAACTAGACAAACCTAATGCATCCAATGATGTATGAGCAAGGAGCGAAGAGATATTGCAAAAATATTCAAATAGCCAATAAACAATAAGAAAATTGGAAATGTGAACCACAATCGTCACAATCAGTTGCCACTATATACCTACCAGAGTAGCAGAAAAAAAAAATATATCTTAAACTGACGATGCCAAGTATTGTCAAGGATACAAACACACACTGCTGGTGGGAGTGCCAGTTGGTATATCTGTTTGGAAATCTATTTAGGAGAACTAAACTTACTAAAGCTGAACACAGGCATACTCATAACCAAACCCAAGCAATTTCACTTCCAGTATATAGAGAAAGAAATGTGTACATGTATGCTCTGAAAGACATGGACAAGTTTGGTCATAACAGTCCTATAAGGAGCTCTGACTTCCCAACACAGCATACCCAAGAACATATAATGAAGGATTTTCAATGAGAGGCAGTGTTGGAATGATGCTTTTATGTGGATCTCGGCTATGAAGGTTCCTTAGAGGAACTGTGCTGGGCACTCAGAGAAATTGTTGTGTCCTAAGTAGAAATTTGAAAACAAGCAAATCAACAGATGAAACTAGAAGAGCGATTAAGCGTTTCCAATTCAAAACAAAACAACCCAATACAGTCCTGCAATTTTAAAGAACAGGTAATCACAATACAAAACATACAAAAATACATCTTAAAAGACAATTATCAGTCTCACTCATGGGATGTAAAAATTCTAAATAAAATAGTAGCAAATGAAATCAAGCAGTACATATAAAACAGACACACGCACGTGCACACACACACACACACACACACACTCACACACACACACACATCAGTGGCTAACCTGGGTATATCCAGGGATGGGAAGAAGTCAAAGGGTCTGTCAGTATAAATAATCACATTAACAAATTAAATACTACACCACTGCAGAAAGGGATAATGAAATGGAATCTGATAAAACTCAGGAGCCATACCTACTTAGATACAAAAAGATTTTTACTCACAAATAAGAGAAAACGTTAGAAGGCAACTGTTTGAGAGCATGACGCTGTCATCCTGTCAGCTAACAATCAGACTTGGTGACTGAAATTGCCAACTTTAAGACTCTCTTTTAGTTATGGCAGCATTTCTCAATGCAGTTTCATCCCTAAGATGTTAATAAGCCATGAGAATTGGTATTTCCATAGTACAGTTTGAGATATACCAATTTAAACAAAGTTGAACAATTTTCTTCACTACTCTTTTGTCTTTTGATAAGCTGATAAGGTGCTTTTGGTCATTCCCTAAGGGGGATTTAGAAGATGCTGCTTCATAAGCTTCTTTAACCAGAGAATTCCCCTTGTTTTTCAAGTATTTTTAAGTACTGGTGATCTTTGAGACAATTTCAGAAATGCTTGGTGGGATGAGGCACGATCTCCACATCTCCTAGTTAACAAGCAAATATGGCACCCAGGAGGAGTAAAATACTGACTGGTAATGCTTTACTCTATTAAAACACTCAAAAGTATTCTGCTTTGTGTTACACTGGATAATTAAAATTGCAATTATGTGGAATAATGCTGTCAACCACTAGCCGGTAAACGACTGTACAGTGATATCGCGGATGGCCTACCTGCACAAAATGGACATAGAGGTAGGGTGCAGATTAAAACAATGACCAAGATGAACCACAGACATTTGTCAATGTAGTTTTGATGTAACTGATATTTGGAAATAAGTAATTTTTAAAGGGCTGAATTCTGTGAGTATATAAACACACTTCTATTTCATCATAACTAATATGTTTTGATGCTAGCACTAAATCATGACAGCCACCCAGATGAAAGTGAACGTGAGAAGCCACCAACTTTGAGATGCATTCTGATTTCCAAATATTAAAATTCATCTTAGAATTAAGTCGCTGTGTGTGATTTCCTACTCTAAAAGTCATACAGGTCTAAGAAACTATCAGAATGAATTACAGTTGTGCTGATTCAATTTTTTGTCAGTTAGCTTATATTTCCATTTAAACCAGAAAGTTTTCGGTCTGGATATCCATATATTTTCTATTGCACAATCTTACATCTTACATTTGGATTCTGCTTGCTGATATTTTAATTAGAATTTTTACATTTACCTAAATTCAGTTAATCTAGCTTTTGCTTTTTAGAGGGTATCTCCATTTAGTTTTTTTTACTGGATTTATGTTATCCAGGTAAGATGAGTTAGTAAAATTTTTAGCTATTTTCATCTTGAAATTTTTACCTAAGGAGATGACAATTTCCAAGTGTTGTTTCTAAAAGGGAGATCCTGGACCAATTTTTTCAGCCTTTTCCTTTGTTTATTGGTCCAAATAGGTTTAAATACATTGTACTGCCTTAAGTTAAAAAAAAAAAAAACTCCATATCTATAATTATATCTCCTTTCTTATTCATGATTCTACAATGTTGCCAATTTTCTTGATTTTTCCTTGTTCAGACTTATCAAATCTAGTTGAGGTTAGTGGACTTTTCACAGAGGAATAATGATCGAAGATTACTGCTTTAATTCCAAATCATTAATCTCAAATTTTAGCTATATTGATTGCTTCTGTATTCTGGTTTAGGATTTGTTATTTTTCTAGCTTCTTAGTTCAGTGTGACAGGAACCATGTAGATACTGGGGGAAGCAAGGTATAGTTCTGGCCCTCCATCTGGGCCAGATGCATCTTGGTTCCTCCAAGACATATTAACAATGGTATTACTTTTCCACTGAGTAGAGCTTCAGGGACATCCTACAAGCTCCAATATACAATCATTTCATTATCATTGTTTTCTGCAAAATCTCTAATTGTTTCAATTTTCTCTTTGATTCAGAACTTATACATACATATGATTGTACATTCACAAAAGTAGCTGACCAAGGTTCACTAATCCTACTAGTTGTATAATGGATCTTTATAATGGAGAACTCTAGCAGTCACCATCTTTTTTTTTTAATTATTATTTATTTTATTTTATTTTTGGCTGCATTGGGTCTTCGTTGCTGCATGCGGGCTTTCTTTACTTGCAGTGAACAAGGGCTACTCTTCATTGCAGTGTGCAGGCTTCTCATTGCAATGGCTTCTCTTGTTGCAAAGCATGGGCTCTAGGCACATGGACTTCAGTAGTTGCAGCGCATGGGCTCAGTAGTGGCTTGCAGGCTCTAGAGCACAGGCTCAGTAGTTGTGGTGCATGGGCTTAGGTGCTCTGTGGCATGTGGGATCTTCCTGGACCAGGGATCGAACCCATGTCCCCTGCATTGGCAGGCAGATTCTTAACCACTGCGCCACTAGGGAAGTCCAGCAATCACCATCTTAACGATCAAATGTAGCATTGGTGATAGTGGGGAAAATGGATATTAATTGCTTATGATGTCTTTCAATAAAAAGTCACCTCCTATGAATTGTTCTGGTGGAAAATGTTTAATCCTCTAACTTGATTTTATGAGAGATATGAAGGATAGAGGTACAAATTAAATTTCAAAATCTAATTAAAACAAAATCTAAAATCTAAAAAAACCAAAATCTAGAATGTATGGCATTCTATAAAATAGCTTTCCTGAAATCTTCAAAAAGTCTGTTCAAGACTAAAATCTAGAGACATGACAACCAAATGCCACGCATGAATATATATTCAGAAAGCGAAAATGGCCAAATGTTTAGAATTCTTGATTCCGTGTAGAGAGTAGATGGATGTTCATTATACTGTCCATTTTTCTGAATGTCTAAAAAATGATCATAATAAACTTTTGGTAAAGAATTCCAAAATGGACAGTTTTCTTTTTGTTCTCTTTAATTTCTAATTTACCTCGAAAAGTGAGTGGAGAATTTTAATTACTGCTTGTCTGTTGGGATTCATTACAGCAAATTGCTTCACATTTCTCTCTGATTCTTCTCCAGGTATAATCCCAACATCTTAACACTTACTAAATCCAAAATGTTTCTTTTTAGTCTTAATTTTTGATGCAGCTTAAGGGATAAATTATGAATAAAAATTCTCTCAAATTCTTTACATTTTACTAGGTCTTTTATCCAGAATGCACTATCTGAAATTCAAATGGATGAGTGGTTATAGGTACTTTTCTAAATTCATTATACAAAATGGGCATTCCTCTCCTAAGACTTCGCCAGTAGTAATATTTATGATGATGATAATAAGAATAGTATGTATTGAGCACAGGCTACATACTAGATACTCTTCCAAGGATCTGACCCATACTACATCCATCCAATCTCTACAACAGCACTATTACAGAGCTACCATCACCAGCATTTTAAACATGATGCCCAGAGGGGATAAGCAGTTTGCCCAACATCCCACAAGTAATAAGGAGGTAGAATGGTGATAAAAATAAGTATGGTTGGGCTTCCCTGGTGGTGCAGTGGTTGAGAGTCCGCCTGCCGATGCAGGGGACACAGGTTCATGCCCCGGTCCAGGAAGATCCCACAGGCTGTGGAGCAGCTAGGTCCGTGAACCATGGCCGCTGAGCCTATGCATCCAGAGCCTGTGCTATGCGACGCGGGGTGGGGGTGGGGGGCGGGGAACAGTGAAAGGCTCGTGTACCGAAAAATTTTTAAAAAGTATGGTTTCTGCCATGGATAAGGTGTTTCCTACATTTGTGATATTAACAGGGTTATTCCCTAGGAAGAGTTTGCTGAAGTTTAACAAAGACTGAATAGTGTTGGAAAGCTTCTATACATTCACTAAATCAACATATCTGGTATAAATTCTCTATGCTCTTATGGGCAGAAGGAAATTGTGATTCCCACATTAGGCAAATCTTCCTATGGAATGAATATTCTGCTACTTTAATCAGGGAGGTAACAAGGGAGGGATTTCTTGTTCTAATTAAGTCACATTGTGACTTGTCTCATGTTTTAAAAAGTGTGACTGCTGTCTCTCAAATTATCTAGGAAAGGACAAACTTTTTGTTTTTAATTTCCAATCATTCATCGACTGATACTTTTGTAAAATATAATGATGTTATGGCAATATCAAATTGCTATAAAAGTTTCCAGACACTTACTCTCACTTTCTGCATTTATCTCATGATTGACAGGTAACAATTCTGTGGACTGGCAAAAAGTCTCTGGCCAATAGTTTGAGTAGCACTTGTCTAAAAGCCTTCCTACAATTCTAATTCAAAGGATTTCTCATTTGGATGAATTCCCTGATGTATTCTAAGATGTTTACCATGTCTACGAGTCTTCCCACATTCCTTAAATTCACAGGATTTCACAGCAGTATGAATTCTGATATGCAGGGCAAGAACCAAATTAAATTTAGATCCTTCCCTTAAAGAGTAATGAGCATAATTTTTCCAATGTCTATGAGACTTTGCACCATGAATTAAATAAAGATCTTTACACATTCCCTACATTTAAATGGCTTCACATCAGTATAGATGTTCAATAAGATCATACAGAAGTCTAAAGGCCTTTTCATATTCCTCATTTTCAAAATATTTCTCACTAGTATGAATTTTCTGGTATCAAGTGAATTGTCCATACACAGGTAAGGCTTTTGCACATTCCCTACATTAATAAGGTTTCTCAAGAGTAAGACTTCTCTTCATGTTAAGTACGTTGTCTGTACACACACAAAAATATGTTCTTTCACATCTCTTCAATCATAAAGTTTCACCAGCATCAACTCTTACTTGAGTAAGCTGTCCATATAAAGACTTCCCCACATTCTTTATATTTGTAGGGTTTATCGTTATTATTAGTTCTTTCATGTTGAACATGGCTTGAGCCACAAGTAAATGTCTTTCCAAATTCCTTACATTGATAAGGTTTCTTGCCAGTATGAAATCTCTGATGAACATGAAGTTGATAGCCACTACCAAAGGCCTTCCCACAGTCTTTACATTCATAGGATTTCTCACCAGTATGAGCCCTCTCATGTTTAACAAGGCTTGAACCCCAACTAAAGGCCTTCCCACATTCCTTACATTTAAAAGGTTTCTCACCAGTATGGATTTTCTGATGCTGAGTAAGGTGATAGCCACGACTAAAAGCCTTTCCACATTCTTTACATTCATAGGGTTTCTCACCAGTATGGATTCTCTCATGTTGAACCAGACTTGAGCCACAATTAAAAGTCTTCCCACATTCCTTACATTCATAGGGTTTCTTGCCAGTATGAAATATCTGATGTCGAGTAAGTTGATAGCCACTACCAAAGGCTTTTCCACATTCTTTACATTCATAGGATTTCTCACCAGTATGGATTCTCTCATGTTTAACAAGGCTTGAACCCCAACTAAAAGCCTTCCCACAATCTTTACATTCAAAGGGTTTCTCACCAGTATGGATTTTCTGATGTTGAGTAAGGTGATAGCCTCGACTAAAGGCCTTTCCACATTCTTTACATTCATAGGGTTTCTCACCAGTATGGATTCTCTCATGTTGAACCAGACTTGAGCCACAATTAAAAGACTTCCCACATTCCTTACATTCATAGGGTTTCTTGCCAGTATGAAATAACTGATGTCGAGTAAGTTGATAGCCCCAACAAAAAGCCTTTCCACACATTTTACATACATAAGGTTTCTTACCAGTGTGGATTTTATGATGCTGAGTAAGTTGATAGCCACGACTGAAGGCCTTCCCACATTCTTTACATTTATAAGGTTTCTCACCTGTATGAATTATCTCATGTTTAGCAAGGCTTGAGCCCCAAAAAAAGGCCTTTCCACATTCTTTACATTCATAAGATTTCACACCAATATGAATTTTCTGATGTTGAGTAAGGTGATAGCCACGACTGAAGGCCTTCCCACATTCTTTACATTCATAGGGCTTCTCGCCAGTATGAATTCTCTCATGTTTAACAAGGCTTGATCCCCAACTAAAGGTCTTCCCACATTCCTTACATTCATAAGGTTTCTCACCAGTATGAAATCTCTGATGCACAGTGAGTTGATAGGCACTTAAAAAGTCTTTCCCACATTCTTTACATTCAAAATGTTTTTCAGCCATATGAATTCTCTCATGTTGAACAAGTTTTGAGCCAAGACTACAAGTCTTCCCACATTCCTTACAAACGTAGGGTTTCTCTTGATTATGAATCTTTTGATGTGCAGTAAGAGATTTATGTTTTCTGTAAGTGGGCACTTTTTCATAGCTGATTATCATTTGATTGAAGTATCCCTCTTGATGTCCCGGGAGGCCCTCAAATCTTCTCTTACACTTCCAATTATTTTTGAAAAGGAATGCCTCAAAGCCAAGGGTTTTACTTCTTTCCTTTATCTCCTGTTGGGGAAAATTTATTTCAAAAATATCCTTTTTTGCAAATGTATTTTTGGTCTCATATGTTGATTCCAAATCTGAAAGAAAACAAGAAAACCACACATTTTATTGCCTTTACCAGAAAAAAAGCCGTTTATAGTAGAAATAAAGACAAATTGAAAAGAATACCCATAAGTGAACTGAATCAAGAGACTTACTGAATTCCTAAGCACAAGCCTCTCTCCCCTGTCCAACAACAAACTCAGCTTTTTCAGTTCTTGTGATATTAATGTTCTGATATGACAGTTTTCTGGAGGATTCCACAAAGATCACTTTAACAAGTCCCTCATCTTCCTGTGTAAATGATCTCTTAAACCAAAATGTGCCCTTCCACTAGTCAAGTCACTGGGCAAAGGATATTAGGATCTGAGCTCAGGGCTGCTCAGTTGACTGGAACTTGTGGTTCAAGATCTATCTATCAGAGAAAGAAGTCATGCAAAGAAGTTCCGGGAATCTATACAGGGATTCTCCCTTGGATCTGTAACCGAATGTCATTATGCATCCACAAGGTGCCTCTCCACAATGTGACTGGGGTACTCTCAGAGATTCTAGAGGTTGTACACTGGAGTGTCAACCCAACCTGAATGGAAAGACCTCAGTGAACACCCCCAAGCATTTATCTGATGGCTCTCAAAGGCCATATACTGAAAGTAAGACCCACACCCTGGAGCAGTAGTTCTCAAATTTTTTGGTCTCAGTGTCTCTTATACTCTTAAATATTGGTAAATCCCTTGCTTGCACATGCATAAGTATATTTGAAATACAAAAAATACAAATCTAGTGTTTTTGCCTATTGGTGATTGTATAATATTTTGGTTGAGCTATTAAATGGTGGATGAGTACTGTGGATGTGATTGTGGGAAGTAATTTTAATCATGAATTAAACTGCACTAACTATTGCTCTTTTATTTAACAATGTCTTATTGCTTTGTATACAGTTACATTTGGCTGTAAAGACTGTGTGTATATCCAAAAGGAAGCCACAGTATTTAAATTGACCAACCTAATATTACAACTACTTTGAGATGACCAAATGTCAACTAAAAGGAGTACAGTTTTGTACAACTTAGCATCAACAAATAGTTCAATAAATTTGAACTGGGGGCTTCCCTGGTGGCGCAGTGGTTGAGAGTCCACCTGCCGATGCAGGGGACACGGGTTCGTGCCCCGGTCTGGGAGGATCCCACATGCCGCGGAGTGGCTGGGCCCGTGAGCCATGGCCGCTGAGCCTGCGCATCCGGAGCCTGTGCTCCGCAACGGGAGAGGCCACAACAGTGAGAGGCCCGCATACAGAGAAAAAAAAAAATTTTGAGTTGGGCTTGTATTATAATTACTTGGACCTGAATGTTTCTGTGTAATGCTTAACAGTGTTAGTAAATGAATACAGGTTTACCTTGTTTTTAGATGTTTAAAAAAAAAGCACTGAGGACCCAAAAGAGGTTTTGTTTATGTGGGTTATATCTTTTGATATTTACCATATTGGAAATTAAAATAGAAATTTAAAGATTTATTAATCCATTTTAAAGTGACAATCATTAAATGTTAACAAATAATATTAAATAATTAAATTTTCCCAAACAAAAGAATTAATGAATTATTGTTTTAATCTTCTGCAAATCTCTTTAATATCTGGTTTAACAGAAGACAACTGGATTCTCACATCTGCTTTTGCATTCAATCTGTAGCAATGCTATTTTGGTTGAAGGATATGAAGAAAATCCAGCCTCTCACAGATGTGTAATTGTAAAATGGCAGAATAGTCTATGAACCTGTTCAGGTAATTTTGGGTGTTATTCTTCGATACTACAGTAAAAATTGAGAAGTGGTGGTTTCTTAAAGATTAGTTCCAATGTGGAATAGGCAACCATACTGGTGAACTTTTCATACTATGTTACATTAAAATCCATTGAACTCTGGATGATTTTTTTTTCTTTTTTCTTCTTTTTTTTTTAACATCTTTATTGGGGTATAATTGCTTTACAATGGTGTGTTAGTTTCTGCTTTATAACAAAGTGAATCAGTTATACATATACATATGTTCCCATATCTCTTTCCTCTTGCGTCTCCCTGGATGATTTTTTATCCATGCATAATTTTGTACTATGTACTGGTTATCTGAAAAACAGTGGTTCACTGAGTTATGCAGATCTTTGAAATGTTGACATATTTCATTACACGATATCAAAAAATCACGTTAATAATATCACCTCACCAGAAATTTTTTTATTTATTGGGAAGCTGTAAATCTCAAAATAATAAATATAAGCTTCACACAATTCTAACTTTTATTTAAAAGTTTGAATTTTATCATTGGTAACCAATACTTTTAGTTGTTCTTAAAGTGACAGGCTCATTTACAAGAAAATGTTTCCCAAATACCCAAGCCTAAAGAACCATAGTTTGTCTCATTCTTCCAAGGGGAAAAAAAAAACAAAAGCAAAATCAAAACTGTGTTCCATGAAAAAAGCAGCTAGTTAAACTCACAATTCAAACATCAGCACAGGTGGTTTCCCTCAAGGCAACCACTGCACCTTAGTATACAGCAAAAGAGCTTAATGGAGACTTCCCATTTCATCACACAGAATATTCTAAAAATGTATCCTCAAGGGTCAAGATTTAATAAAATGAAGCCCCAGAGCAGGGTACTAAAGGTCAACCAGCATGAGGAGGGTTTCAGTATAAAAGGGTTATCCTATGTCAGGAGTCAGAATGCAAGCAGGGTAAGGACAAGTGTCTGTGTGTGAGTGACCTGGTATGGGTTGTCACAGCCCAAGTGGGATGAGACAGGTAATCACATGATCAAGGTGGTGGTGGTGGTGGTGATAATAGAAGACTGGTTACACATAGAGAGTTTGATCAAATAAGTACAGTTGTCCCTTGGGATCCTTGGGGGATTGGTTCCAGAACCCACCTCAGAACCCATACCTGAGGATGTTAAGTCCCATAATCGGCCCTCCTTTTCCACAGATGCAGAACACATGAAAATGAAGGGTCAACTGTATATTTATTGAAAAATAATCTGCATATAAGTGGACCTGCATAGTTCAAACCCATGTTGTTCAAGGGTTGACAATAAACACATTAAGGATAATGGAACCTAGGTTTTTCACTGTCAGAAAAGGGAGTTAGAAATATGGAAAGTGAATATACTGAAATGAAACCTGTAGTGCTGAAATGGAATTGGAGATATCTGTATGAACTCATGGTTTCAATCTATAGATGTAAATGTGTGTGCATGTATACGTATATATGCATATAAACATATTCCCTACTCTGTCCACTGAGAGGGCCTAGGGACAGCCATCCCCCAGTGGCAATGAGCAAATCTAGTACCCAGATTCTGGCTTCTAAATAGCATTCTTAACTAAAAGGAACCAGGGCACCTTGAAGAAATGGCTGACTTTAGGGCTGGAGCAGGGAAAGTGCAAGATGAGCCTGGAACATGGTGTGGGGAAGAAAATAAGGAGGTGCTCTAAGTGTGATGGAGACATGCCAAAGGACACAGAAACTACTGTTGAGAGAATTCCCACTGGTCAAATCCAGGACCACCTTCAAAATAAATAATGGGAAGAACAGATTACAACCTACCGACTAGAAATCCAACATACGAATAAGTTGAAAGTTTGAAGAGGAATACAATACTTAATAGTCTCAAAGTTCCTCCTCACAAAAGGCTCATTAAAGGAAAAAAGATTAACTTTATAGGGAGGAGGCCGGTGGACACTACCACGATCACCTGCTCAAAGTAAGCATCATCAGTAATAAATCATTTGCTCCACCTGACAGAATGCAAGGAGAACACACCATCAGTTCTGTGATACTCCTGCCAAAGATGCATAATCCAAATCTAATCATGAGGAAAGAGCAGACAAACCCAAACTGAAGAACACTGTACAAAATAACAGGGCTGGAATCTTCAGAAGTAACAAGAAATGGGTATTTTGATAGGGAATGCATTAAATCTGTGGATTGCTTTGGGTAGTATGGTCATGTTAACGATATTAATTCTTGTAATCGAAGAGCATGGGATATCTTTCCATTTCTTTGAATCATTTTTAATTTCCTTTATCAATGTTTTATAGTTTTCAGCATATAGGTCTTTCACCTCCTTGGTTAAGTTTATTCCTAGGTACTTCTTTTTGGACATGATTTTAAATGGATTTTTAATTTTTTTTTTACTTTCTGGTATTTCACTCTTAGTATAAAGAAATGCAACATTTTCTGTATACTAATCTTGCATCCTGCTACCTTGCTGAATTTATTTTTTAGTTCTGATAGTTTTTGTGTGAAGTCTTTATGGTTCTTTATATGGAGTATCGTGTCATTTGCAAATAGTGACAATTTTACCTCTTCCCTTCCAATTTGGATACATTTTATTTCTTTTTCTTGTCTGAATTCTGTGGCTAGGACTTCCAATACTTTGTTGAATAGAAGTGGTGGGAGTTGGCATCCTTGTCTTGTTCCTGAAGTTAGTGAGAAGGCTTTCAGCTTTTCACCACTGAATACTATTGATATGTTGGCTGTGGGTCTGTTGTAA